CAGCCCCAGCAGGGTGCGGGGCAAGGGGGCAGGAGGGTGTCCCTGCGGCCCTGAGGTGGGGGCAGGAAGGCAGCCTGGTGCCCCGGTGCTGCCAACCTCCTCGAAGAGCTGTAGGTTTTCCCGGTTGCGGCTTCTGCGCCGGCTTCTCACCCAGGTGGCCCCACACACCAGGGCCAGCGCCACGGGCACCTTCAAGCTGAGGAGAAGCAGCAGGTGGGTGATGCTAAGCTGGGACCTGGGTAGGAGAAAGGAGATGATGCTAGAGCTTGAGTAGGGTCTGGGCAATGATGATGGGGACTGGAGTGCTTGCATGTCTGCCAGTCACCCCACTTGCCCCTGAGATGCTCCTTGGGGCTGCTGCAACTGGGCAGACCCAGGGCTGGGGGATGCGTGCAGGGAAAAAGGTGTTTAGGGCAGGGGATGTTGCTGGGGGCTTGCCCAGACCCTGAGCCCTGACTCACAGCACTGGAGGCTCTCCACAGCCCGTGGGGCACAGGGGGTTGGTGGCTGCTGGGCTCACGTCGCTGCTTTCAATTGTGGTTGAAACAGCTGTGAAGAAAACACAGATTTAGAGTGAAGTGGAGACCCCCCCTCCACTCCATCCTGCCCCCTGTGCTGGGCGTCTCTGCCATGAGACTTTGGCCACGGAGGTGCAGGAGGTGGAGATGGGGGTCTCTGAGCAATGCACCGGGCACTGAGGAGGAACAAAAAGGGGGTTTTACTGGGAGGGACTGGGAACCCCAAAGGATAGGCTTATGGAAGCAGAGACACTGAATGGGAGCAAGGGAGAGGCTCTGCTCTGCACGAAGCTCCGTACAGCCTGCTCCATCCCTTGTCCAAATTTGCACTGGGGCAGCCTCCAGCACGTCTTGGTGCCTGCAAGGAGCTTGCTCCCACTTTGGCAACTGCTGTGTTCCCCTGGCTGCGGAGGCCCTGTCCCCAGCGCTGTGACCCAAGTGATGGGCTCCATCACATCCCTGCTTTGTTCCCAACCTGGCTTTACCTGCAGAGACCGTCACCTTGGTGGTGTGCCACAGGCTGAACCACAGTCTCCTCCTCACCCCGCAGGAGTACCAGCCCGCATCCCCTGGCGTGACATAGCCCAGCGTCACCATAAGCGAGTGTGCCGTGTGGTTGTCCCTGATGGACATGCTGCCCTGCATCACTGTCACCTCCGAGCCGTCCGTTTGGGCGATGTAGGTGAAGCACAACCAGAGGAAGCTCGGGCGGCACCAGTACTTGGAGTAGAGCTCATAGCCCGGCTTGTAGCTGCAGGACACTGTCAGCAAGCCACCCTGCTTGGCTGTCACCTGCGCAGGGCCCATCATTGCCCAGCCACCTGCGGGGGACAGGGAGAGATGCTGCAAGCAGGTACTGGCATTGCCTCGGGGAACCGGGAGGGATCTGAGCCTGGGGTGCTCGGGGCCACCCTGTCCCAAGGGAGGCTGTGTCCCTGCACCCACTGCGCCAGGGAGAGGTGCCAAGATGAGATGTCCCCAGCCGTTAAAAAAAGAGCCCCTGCCAAGCATGTGTGCTATTAAATGAGCAAAAGCCCTCATTTTCAGGGTTCATGTGACAGCAATAAATACATAGCTCAGAGATCACCCTCTGTAGCCATCCGCTGGCCACAAGGAAAGGACGGCGTCAGCTGGGCTCTTGCCATGACCGTGGTGGGCTGCCTGGGTTGGCTCTGTCCCAGCCTTTCCGCGGCTCTGCCAGAGCCTGTGGGCTGGGAACTGCCTGAGCTGTGCTCCCGCGTCTCACCTGGGAAAAGGGTCCAAACGAGGAAAATCCTCATTTTCCAGCTTCTCGCTCCTGATGCAGATTTTTCCCCGTGGTTATTCGTGTACACCCTGCAGGATGGAGCCAGGTTCACACACACCCAGGTGTCCCAGGAGTTTCCCAAGACTCTTTCTCCCGTCACATTCTTGGGCAGTGTTTGCCCACGGACCCTGAATGTCTCTTTAAAGGCAGTTGCTTCTTCCCCTTTGCCCTGGACCATGACTCACCCTGCCTTTGCTCTGAAACACTCACCCAGTTCCCAGTAAAACACCAAAATGCAGTGAGTTCCTCCTCCACGAAGCCTGTCCTAGCGGAGAATACAGCCCTTCCCCGTGCACAGAGCCCAAAGGGCTTCGGGGGGCTTTGCAGGGGGGCCAGGCCAGAGCGGGGGTCTGGGGACTGGGGCAGGGTGAATGCCAGTTAGCCCCTGTGGATGGACCTGTTGGGACTGCCAGGCTGCTCTCCTGGTCATGATGGACTGGGATGATGGACAGCAATGATGGACTGGGATGATGGACAGCCATCCCTGCTGCACTGCTGCTCGCCAGCTCCCGAGCTGGCTGCCAGTGCAAGCTGGGCTGCTTTTGTTTGTTTCCCCCATCATTTCCCTCCCCCCAAAATGACTTTTTTTGGCACAGCTGTAGGTTTTGAGTCACAATGCTGTTTTTCTCCTGAAAGTAAATGTTTCCACTGAAAGTTTCAGAAACCCGAACACAAAAAGCAAAGCCGCTTCCCTGGCAGCTGCCTTGCCAATGGATTTCTTCTTCAATGCCTCTTGGAAAGAGCAGAAAGCACAAACTCCCGGCCCTGCTGGAAGCTGAGACTGCTCCTTCCCATCCCCTCCCTGTCCCCTCACCATGGCAGGAGGAAGCGCTGAGTTTTCCTTCTGATTATCAGAAGGAAACCCATTCATTTCTAGCAAACTGGGTGACCCAGCTGTGAACTGAGTCGCTGCAAATAGCAGCAAGATCTAAATTCAAGAAGTGGCTGGAAATTGCAAACCTGCTTTCTGCTGATCAACCCTCCTGGGAAGGCTGGGCAGCCAGGGCTCCAGCCGCCTCCCCAGCCGCTCTCATCTTCCTTCCTTTAGGTGTCGATTCCCATTATTCCCTCCTAACACAGCCCCAGTAGGACTGGGGTGCCACAGAGAGCCCCAAAGGGGATGACAGCAGCAAAGTGGCTCTGTGGGCACACCAGATTGTCCCTCTTCCCCTCCAGATGGAGTCCTTGCAGAGGAATTTCTGGGTTGGATTTATCTGAACCCAAACCAATCCATTTGCTGCTGAGCTGGGAAACCATCCCGCTCCTCAGGCTGTGCAGACTTGAGGCCATGGTGATGGGATCCTTTGGCTCCATCGGTGCCCGACATGGAGCCCATGCCTTTAGCAGCCCCGGCCCCTTGGTGCCAGTGGGAGCCAGAGCATCGCCAGCACAGTCAGAGCCTGTCCTCACCTGGGAGAAGGATCCAGCCCCAGCCCGGCAATATCCCCATTGTCCTGCTTTGCTCTGGAGATCCAGGAGCATCAGCCTCCCTCCTGTACAGGGCAGCGAGTGGGAGACAGCTGCTGTGTGCTCTCGGCTCCTTTCACTGCTTTTTTGCTCGTGCAAGAGGTGATGGCGAAGGGTGGTGCTCTGCTGCCGGGTTACATCTATCTGGCTGGGCTTTGCCTTGGGGCTGGGAGTGTTCTGCTGCAGGCGAAAAGCTGCCGAGATGCTTTTTGCAGACTGGCACATGTGAAGCACACCAGGGAGGGTGGGCAGCTGCAGAAATGGGATGTTGGCCCCCCTGCACCCCACTTGGTGGCAGGGTGTAGGAGAGAAGGAGGTCTTCACCCTAAATGGCTGCTGCAGAGAGATGCCGGAGCCCATGAGATGAGCAGAGCTTCCAACACCAAAATGGGGCAAAACCAGCACAGGACCTTTAATCTTTGCTTGATCTTTGCAGAGCCCGTGTTGGGTGCTGGAAGCTGCATGTCCTGGTGCTCCCCCTCAGCTGGGCTAAGGGGTGATGCCGGGATGGATGCAGTGCGGGAGAATAACGGAAGATTGGTGGGGAAGATTGTAAACAAGCTCAAGTGACTTGCAGCTGGGTTGTCGAAAACCAGATATACCACACTAAATGTTTAGTTCTGTGTGCTTGACAAGTAGAACATCTGTGTTCAGATAACGTAGGCCTGTGACGGACTCAGAGGCACCGTATCTAACACGCTTGGGATTCCTGCCCTGCTGTGGGAAAGATCAAAGCACAGTGGAAAAATACGCCTGCTAAATCCCTGATATAGCAGGTGAAAAGCAGCAGTGCTGGTAGCTTTTTGCTCTCTCACAGGACCGAGCTCTGAGGTGCCTGCGTCCCCACTTGTGTGCCTCCACCCAGCTGCTGCTGCAGAGAACCCCCTGGATCCTGAGGTAACGAGAATAAATTTATCTTTGCACTTCACCAGTGTTGCTCCTGGATCCTGCCTGGGTTGGTTCACACATGCAGCCTCCTGGGCACCCGGAGGGAGCCAGCTCAGCCACTGAGCTGTGTTTCAGCTGAGAGGGACATGCGATGCCCTGCATTTGGGGTGCGGGTGCCTGGCCCCAGCCCCTGGGCTCTGCTGGGTTCTGCCACACTGAGCTGGTTTGGGGAGAAGTGGGAGATGTGAGGCACAGGGAGAGGGAGGAATGGGAGTGATCCGGACATCGCCTGGAGCTGCCACGTGGCGCCGAGGGCTGTGACTGGGTGGCTGGGGGTTGGCTCTGCCAGCGGTAGTGCTGGGACAGAGAGGATGGGACGATGTGGGGCTACGTCACTGGAGCAGGTCCCCGTGCTCCCATTCCCCGTTCAGCACCGGAGCTTCTTGCAGATGACGAGACTTGGGTTACCCTCAGGAGCAAATGGCACCCAGATCTCCCCACTTCTTTTTCTTCCCATCCTTGTGGTTTTTCTTCCTTTTTCTAAAACTGCTGCGTAAGTTTCCATTTCGCAGCAGGGTGGTTATATTTGGGTAGATGACGAGACCTACCCAGACAGGGGCTTTTCCTTCCGCAGCTCCCCCACCTGGGATATGCAGCTGAAATCCTGACGTCTGCATGGGATCTGGGGGAGCAGGATGGGACGCTGTGCAGCCAGGCTCCCACGGGAGCTTCCCTCCAGCTCACCCTGTCCTTTGACCCCTTTGCTCTGTGCAAAGACCGAGAGCGAAGAGATTGAGGCACCAAGTGAAAATGAAGAAGCAGAAGTCTGAGGGCTGTGTGGAAACAGGCGTGACCGCACCGGCCACAGCACCGTGCCCTTCCTGGGCCACCTCAGAGTCACTGGGGCCAGAGAAGGCATGAAGCTCAAGCCTCTGACCAAACACCAACCTCCCCTGCCTCCCCACGTAATCCTTGTTGCTCAGCACAAGAAACAAGCACAGCATACCCTGGTCCCCTGCAGCCTGGACTGGGGATGCTGGACTTTTAACCCCTAGTTGGAGGATATTTCAAACACATCCCAAATCTTCTGATCTCATTTCATTTAATAGCCACATGGCAGGGTGGGGATAAAGAGTGCTGCTGGCCCGATGGCATGCATGTCACGCTGTGGGACCCCGTGGCACACTGGGGTCTGCGGTCTCGTGCGGTACGGAGGGATGGGGTTTGCTTCTGCAGGATACAGGGGATCTCAACGGGAGAGGCAGAGAAAGCTCGGGCAGCAGTGGGGAAACACACCTTGGATGAAGACAGAGCTGCAGGGGGTGTCTGTTCCCAGGCACGGGGCTTTCTGGCAGTGAGGGGCCAAGTGTGGAGCCACTCAGTGCATGTTCATGTAGATTGTCTGCAGTTCTAGAGCTCTGGAAACTGAAACTTGGTCTGTCTTTTCAAAGTCCTGAAGTGGGGAAGAAGCACAAAGATTTGGGGCACTTTGCAGATCTGCCTATGCTAGAGCACCAAAAGCTCATGTCTGTTCCTACAGGGTTTGTGAGCTGCTGCCTGGGACAGGCTGTTAAAGGGAAGGGAAAGGCTAGTGTGGGGAAAGGAGTGTGACCCCAAAGTGGGGCAGCTCCTTCTTGGTGCACCTCAAAGCAAGGTGCAGATCCTCCTTGCTGCAGGGCAGGGAGCAAGGAGCACCCATGGGGTAACTTGCCGTGTGCCCCGGGAGCTACCCCAGCCCCCTTTACCTGCCACTGGACTGGGCTGTTCTCATAGTCATCCTCAGGTGAGCTGAACTCCCACTCCCTGTTCATGTAGATGTTATTGGAAGCGTCTGCTTGCTCCCAGCTTGTAGTGACCTGGAGGGGACAAGGTGTGTTGAGGACAAGGGAGTCTCTGGACAGTGGCTCCCTTGTGATGGAGCCATCACAAGACCTTCATCCCACCACCCTCCCACCTGTGGTAGCTGGAGGTCCTTGTCCCTCTTCCTCTCTATGGCCTGGGCTGCTGAGGGGAGAGCAAGAGAAATGGCTCAGACCGAAACGAAGCTTGCTTTGCTGAAGGGGAGCATTTTGAGGGATTCTGAGCTCTTCCCCATAGGTGCCCACACCGGCTCCTGTGCAACCTCAGGTCTGGCCTGACTTTGCCAAGAGCCCCCAGGACCAGGGGGCTCAGTGGGTTGGAGTCCTGGGGAGGGGTCCAGCCTGGTTTTCTCCCCAAGCCCTGCTCACCCCTAGGGCAGGAGTGGGAGGGCAGCCCATGGTGTGCTGGGGTGGGGGGATGGGTGCTGGGGGGCAGCATGGGGACCCCTGCAGCCACCCTGCAGAGAAGGGCCACATCTTGGGCCCCCAGATCACTGGTACCTCTGTGCTTCTCCAACGATGCTCTTCTCATCCTATGGCAGATGATGATGCCCGAAATCAGCACCAGTGCAGCGAAGGATGTCAGGACCAGGACAAGCAGGTTTGGGGTGCTAGGAGGGGAGAAAAGGTGTTACTGCCCTTCTGTGCTTCCCCCTGTGCAGCCCCATGCCCAGGGGAGGGCTTTTGTGCCTGTATTTAGCACAACCCCTCGGGGGTATGAGACTCCTTGGTCTGGCAAGGATGTTTCAAGGATTTCTCCTGGGTTTCCTGGCCAGGGGTCCGTGTACAGGTACACGCAGTGTCTGGCCACCTTGGCATGAGTGAATTGCACAGATTCACCCCCCATCTCCATGGACAAGTGCCCAGATGTGGCACACAGCTGCCTCGGGTGTCAGGGTCCCCATCAGCCCTGCAGGAGCCGGGCAAAGACCCTGGGATCCCCAACCAGTGCAGCCCTATGGCATGCAGGGGTACAGCAGCTCCCTTAGCATCACATTTCACTTTCTCCTGAAATGCCCTGCTGGCCCCAAAGACCTGTGGGCAGGCTGGAGCTAGACCCTGCATCCTTGGACTGCCTGGCCCTTGGGCTGGGGACAGTCCTTCTCCTCCCTGGTGGCCCTGGCACTCACCCAGCCTGAGGGCTTCTGGATTTTGGTGTGGACATGGTGTTTTCCAGCTCCAGGGGAGTCCATGGGAAGGTGGGAGGAGATGTGGCCTCTTCCCACTGTGTTGTGAAGAGGTCATAGTGTGTTGTCTCGGGCACTGTGGTGTAAAGAGATGGGAAGCAAAGTGCCGTGGTGCGTGATTCTGGGCTGTGGCTGAGGTTGGTGACTGGGGGCTTTGTGGCCCCAGAGGCTGCGGGTGGGGAGGTGATGCGGGATGGCTGGCAAATGCCCAGCATGGCCCCAGGGGGCCTGTGTGCACCACAGGAGCGAGGGGGGGCATGATAGAGGGTCACCAAAGTCAGCTGGGGGGGGGATTTCTTCCATCCTTGGCTCTCCCCATCCTCCCTCCCAAGCCTCCCCTCTCCATTCCCTCTGCCCCTCCAGCCTCCATCAAAGCAGAACGGCCATTCCAGGCACTTACCTGGGAGAACAGACACCATGACACGGAACATGGGATCATACCAGGCTACCTGGATCCCACACCAGTACTGATCCGCATCTTCCACTCTCAGGTCCTCCATGGTCACCATGAACACGAGCTGAGTGGGGTCGTCTCGCAGGGACACCCTGTCCCCCCATGCCTCGTCCCCTGGGGCCGTGGTCTGAACGAGGATGGAGCAGGAAAGCCAGCTGCTGCCCCTGCACCAGTACTTATTGGCATCCACCATCTCCGGCTCGTACTCGCAGGGTACCTCCACGGAGCCCCCTGGGAAGCCGCTCACCTCCGTGGGGCCCTGCAGAGCCCAGCATCCTGCAGGGACAGAGGCCATGCCAGCCTGCGGGCAAGTACAAGCCCATGCACAAGCCCTCTGCCTGTCCCCAGCCCGTTGCCCGTACCCCTGCCACGTGAGCTGCTTTGTGCTACCCTTGGAAAACCTCTCCTGCAGCCAGCGGGGCTGAAGCCCAAGGGTCTGGGTTTGAGGTGGGGGGGGGTGGCTATGCAGGGCCAGGGGCTGAGGGGGGAACTGCTTGGTCTCTCTTTGCCTCCTTGTGAAACCGCAGTGCCTGGAAATCCACTTCTACTTCTGCCAGTGGGCTCTTCCAAGAAAAGCTGCCCCTCCAGCTCTGGGCACAGCAGTACCCCCCAGGCTCTCCTAGGGCCAGGTTTAAAAGAAAAGAAGAAATGCTGAATATTGCCCTCAACTCTGCAGCCCCCTGGGAAGCTTCACTTCTGCCCTTCGCCAAAACCAAACCCCTCTGGGATGCTGCTGCCCACCCCAAAGCATTTGGGTTTCTGTTAAAGCCATCTCTCCCAGCAAGCGCAAGGTTGCAAGCCCACCCTGCCTGCCCTGCCCACCCTGCCCACTGCTGTCATGGCACAGGGCAGGGGGGGTCACAGGATTTGCAGGCTCCCCGCAGCCTTCCTCAGGGTGTTTTTAGGGATCTGTGAATTGGAAAAGCTTGCTAGCCTATGCGTGGGATTGAAATAATTAAGCAGTTCTTCTTGGCAGAGGGGTAAGTAGAGAAGAAATACATCTGTGAGGCATTTCTGACATGGATTTTGGAAGTTCAGTGCAGCCCCAATGAGCCTTTACCTGTTCCCATCAACATGAAAAGATCCTTTTCTCACCTGGGAGGAGAATCCAGGTCCAAATGATGAGCTTTTCTCCCATCCCACTCGCCAGGCGTCTGTGGGCTCAGCCCTCACTCCCTGGAGCTACATGTCTTGAGGCACCGACCACCCTCGGAGGGGCCCTTCACTGCCATGGTGCCACTCCTCGGCTTCCTGTCCTGGTTTCACTTCTGCTCCTTCTCTAGCTCCAGGCAGTGCATACGGCTTCTCCTCTGGGCCAGGGACACCCGCACCAACCCCTTCTTTCCGAACTCGCTCGGCCCGAGTCACAGCTTCACCCTTGCCAGCAGCTCCTGTGGCTGGGGAGCTGAGAAGGGGGTCGGAAGCAGGGGCATGGCTTAGGCAAGACCTCAAGAAGCTAAACTCAGCATTCACTTTCTGTTTGAGAGTTTCAGGGCTGACAAAAAATTAAGTTCCGCTTTTCAAAGGAAAAAAACAAGTGCTGAAGAGGAGAAATATGCCGAGGGTGGCCAAATCACTATAGGCCATTGGCCCCTGCTCTGCTCCCGCTGGTACCCGTGTACTGGGCTGCTCTGGGCTGCGTGCATGAGGAGCAGCAGCTGGAGGAGCTGGGGTTTAGCTTCCATCTGCCCTGGGGTCTGTGCTGCCTGGAGCTGGCACTGGTGTGACCGGGAATGTGGACACAGGGGTGGGAGAGCCGCTCACCTGTGAGACTGGCGTGTGGCTGATGGTACACGAGAGCTGCTAACGTACAGCAGCACCGAGCTGTGGGGTGCGGCAGAGGACAGAGCTCTTCGAAACACAAACACGAAAGTGTCAACTCACCTGGGAACCCGTCAGGCAGGAGAGGCAGACACCAAGCCACCCTGCAAGGGTTTTTGCATGCACACCGGAGAGGTGTGGGAGATGCATCCCTGCCACTGCCCGGCAAAGCCAAGTGAGCCCTTCCCACCCTTCCCTCAGGGCAGGAGGAGGACTGGGAGAAGCAGCTCAGAGGTGGAGGCTCTGGCTGGAACACAGGGAAGGTGCCTGCAAAGGCATTTGCTGGCTGGAGATTTTGAGGGCAGCTTGGTTACCTGAAAGCAGCCAAAAGCACTTCTTCAAAGAGCCACTTTGGTAGAGAGTCTGGGAGGATTTTCCAAGCCACATCCATGTTATTGCCATCAGGTGAGAGGTATCGTTTCCCATTCTCTTTCTCTGTTTCAGTTTTGGTGTCTGGGCAGGATGAGCAGCTGCCCAGCCCAGCACATGGTCTGGGGCCCCCAGCACAGACCAAGGCCGGTTCCTCCCCATCAACACAGTCCCCAGGACCATGTTAACTCTCCAGAGGGTTCCTGCCTCTGTTGCAGTGGCTGAAGGCAGGGCTTCTTCCTGCCACTAAGAACACTGGAGTGATTTACAGCCTCCCAGCATCGACATGGGGTTTTACTCTGATATTTCTCCTTTCAGCTGGTGGGTGAAGGAGCCCTGGCTGCAGCGGGGTTGCTGGGTGGGAGTTGTCAATGAGGGTTTTGCTCTGGCTCAGCACCTCGGCCCCAAACATCCTCAGCAGCCTGTGAACGTGCTCCTGGAGGGGAAGAGCAAGATGTGAGCAGGCAGGAGCGAGGAGCCCCAGAGCACTGACATGAGAGGTTCTGTCAGACAAGGGGCCGCGATACTTACCCCAATTAAAGTGCGTGTCAGGTTGAAAGTGATGAAACCAGAAAGGGAGTGGAGCAATTCAGACAGAAGCCAATGCAGCAGAGCGTGGTGCAGAGCCACGCTGCCTGGTCCCCTGCAGAAATGGAGAGAGCCCTGCGCAGAGCCCCCCCCAACATCCCACCCTCCAGCTGGGGCACCGGGGTGGGTGCTGGGGTGCTGCAAGCACCCCATGGGGGAATGAATAAAAGCAGTCACCTGCAGAGGAGGCTGCAGTGAAGGGTAGGGGAAAGCAGCGGGCTCTGCACCAGTGTCCTTGTGGGGCAGCTGCGGGCGGGCGCTGCCCTCCCCGCCATGGGGCCCTGATGGGGAGAGTCCTGCCCTGCTCTTGAGCCGAGATCCTCTCTCTTTCAGCAGCAAGTGGCTCGGGAAACACGAGGCAAGGCTATTCTGTAAGAGAAATGTTGCTGAAACACTTCTCAGCCATCCCCGTGATGCATCCCGACAAGAACAAATCAGTTCGTCTTTTCATCTCAGCCACACTTGGAGCTGGAGCAAGCACTCGTGTGCGGCTCAGTAGCCACGCAGCGGGCAAAGTGGCCCCGGCAGCGGCAGAGCGATGGCTGGTGACGGGAACAGGGCAGCGGGAGATGAGCTGACACCTGCGCTCCCGCAGCCCCTGCCCAGCAGAAACAGGACACGGAGCAACACGATCAGACGCTGGGTTTGCCCGCGCTCTGGAGAGATTCTAGGTCAGCGTTTAGTCTCTGGTGGTGGCGTTA